ATTAGCCAAGTAAATTTGATAGTATTCTATTAAGAAATGCTCAAACCCATGAGGTATCTAACTCGATACAGTAACTTTCCGCTTGAACTCCCTTTAGTGTGTACATAGTATTGGCATTAATTTTCATTCATATGGAGGATAGTTGAAAATTGGTTCAAATTGTAGGTTTTGACCGACTTTGACAAATTGGCTAAGCAAGACTCCTTAGTCAATTATGGGCATTCAAAGGCCGAACGTGTTCTACTTTACGAGTAGATTAATATAGTTTCTCAAACCAATATTGTATAAATGAAAAATTAAGGGTGTAACATGTGATGGAATAATCTAGAATATACATGACTGTTTTCCAAATGAAAAATCATATTTTCTAGACAAAAGGAGTCTAGAAAGGAGATATGTCTTACTCCAAACAATAATATCTTTTAACACACAACTTTTCAACCCTCTAGTTGTACAATCATAATCCCTATACTATCATATTGTTGCAAATTCACTTTAAAAAAAATTGCATTTATTATGAATCCAATTTCACATAACGAGAGTTCAAAACACTAGCTTACGTAATTTGGAGTGATCCTATTGAGGGACATAAACGTTGTATCTTGCGACAATTGTCAAAAATCTTTAGTACATGTGCGGAGCATTATCATCTTAAAGACAAGTCGAACTCTTATTTCGATCGAATCTCATTTTCCGTATTTCTTTTTGCTACATTTTCTTGGTTAGTTATCATAATATTATTTATGGACCTATTTTACCAACAGGTCATGGGTCATTTCTTACCAGAGGTTTTGGAAGCCATTGCGCTACTTGAAAGGTCTCATCTTCTGAAAAGCAATTGGAGTCGCAATGTGCCTCTTAGTATCATTCATGGCTTGAATAATGTATTTGCACGAAATGCTTGTTTACTCCTCTGATTTCGTAGATCTTCTCAAGGATGTAGAAAGTGTAACATGCCAATTTATGCCTGGATATAGGAGTAAATTAGCCCACATTTTTGCATCTTGTGCAACTAGCTTATATGAGCTACATTGATCAAATTTAAATTTTTATTTGTACATGATAATCACGTCAATTTTGGAATTAAGGAGATCTTGAAGATGGTTTTAGATGAAGTGAGCAACAATACAATACTGAGTATGCAATAAATGAAGGGAAATGATAAGAAAGAACGATTGAAAATAAAAAATATAAAGCTGCTACAAATGAATGGGAAATTAAGAACCACGTCTGTTAATTTGGAGTTGACATAGTGAAAAAGACCTTATATGTATAAGAGCATCATACACACAAATCAATGTATGTTCTTTAGGCCGTAGTTAAGAACATCTCTAATTGATATTTTATTTTAAAGAGTATAATTTGCAATTTAGTGACCATTTATAAATTTAATGAGTAAAAATTTGTAAATACTTCAACCGTCTATTTATCTTTAAAACTTAGGCCTTGTATGGGAGGGATTAAAATCAGATTAAAATTGAAAATATAGCCGTTATTGTTGACTTTTATTAGACGAGTGGGACCCAATAACGGTCATATTTTCAATTTTAATTGGCTTTTAATCCCTCCCAAANACAATATAAGGCCTTGTATGGGAGGGATTAAAATCGGATTAAAATTGAAAATATAGCCGTTATTGTTGACTTTTATTAGACGAGTGGGACCCAATAACGGCCATATTTTCAATTTTAATTGGCTTTTAATCCCTCCCAAACGGGGCCTTAATCTTACTACTCCCAAAATGTCTTTATTATTTTTCTCTATCTTTTATTTTCACCAACATTCATCCAAATTATTATTTTATTTCCCTCTATTTTCTTTGTATCGACTATTTAGATAGGTCAGCAATGAAAATTGGAATATTTCAAATGGCTCCTTAAATTTAGAAAGCCAAACTCGCTTTTTATTTTAAAATGCTTTAATCTGAAGAATCTCTCAGGTAAACCATTGTCTTGCTTTCCATACTACTTCCCCAGCTTCTCGCAGAGAAATTAAAATAGCATTCGCTTAAACTTGACGAGAAATACAAATAGCATTTAATTAAAGTTCAATCTAGCAAAAGCTATCAGTCATTTTTCTCCATAAAAGATGTGACAGAGCATGAAGGCTATGGTGATCTTAGCAGTTTCAAAACAGCAATATTTACACAATTTCCACTAGTTTGCAAGTGCTCAATGTACAAGACTTCCATCCAGCTTATTTTT